GCGGAGGTTGCGGTGAGCCGAGATCGCGCCATTGCACTCCAACCTGGGTAACATGAGTGAAACTCCGTCTCAAAAAAAAAAAAAAAAAAAAAAAACCCCCAAAAAAAAAAAAAAAAAAAAAAAAAAAAGAATTGTCCTACATTGTACTGTGGGTAGAACTTGTCCTTTTAAGGCCCCTTCCCCCTTTTATGTATATTGCCAAAACTTGAGTGATCTTTGTGGAGCTAAACTTTTATTTATTCTTCTTTATTAGAGAAAGCACTACATATGTCTTAGTGTACTGCTTTAAAAAAATAAATGGTTCTATAATACTGTTCAAACTGTATGACCTACATTTTCTCTTCATATGACCAATTGCAGATGAGCCTATTATGGAAGAGCCAAGCCGCCTCCAGGAGTCAGTGATGGAGGCCAGCAGAACAAACCTAGATGAGTCAGCTATGCCTCCACCGCCACCTCAGGGAGTTAAGCGAAAAGCTGGACAAATTGACCCAGAGCCAGTGATGCCTGTAAGTAAGCAAATCTATACATTAAGTCATTTGAAGATATTCATACAGTCAGTAGCAAGTGGTATTTAGAGAGCCCTTTTAAAGTATCTTGGTTTTGGCAGAAAATGGTAAGGAATGAGTCCAGAGGAACAAGAGCAACTGGATATACAGACAGTCTGCTTCAATAGAAGATGTTCTGGGAGTCTGCAGTCTTTCTGACTTTTTGAATCGTGTTGCTTTAGAGTGGTCCAAAGTGAGCATCCTTGACTCTGAAGTTCGTTCTGATTTATTCTTTGGCAGACATTCCTGCATACCTTCAGTACTAGACAGTTTTAGGTCATCTTACTAAGTAATCAGAATAGACTTGTCAAATACCTGAGAAAATGTAAAGCAGTATCTGTCTACTTCATTCACACTTTGACTGCTATTAAATTCGGCTAGGATAGGAAAGCTAAGCAAGTATAAAGGAAGTAGTAGGGTTTGCTTTAGGGCTTTCCAATCTTAAGTCTATAGGATAAATGAATTTGAGCAAAGGGAGGCTTTTTGACCACCTTAGGCTTCTTGTTCAGCCTCCATCAAGAATACTCTGCCAATTTTAAGAACTAGTGTTTGTGCCCTCTGGTGGTAGGGAGTTGTCAGTAAGAGCATTTTTCTGTATAAGCTCAGGAATGGGAACACAGTAATGAGTAGTGACTCTCATACTGTCTTTCTGGTAATTCTTTGGTTTCTTAAAGACTTTGGTTTTAATGTTCTTAATTCTTTATGTTAAACCTGAGAGAAAATAAATATAGGAAGTGGACCCAGAAAAACAATTTTCTCACTTCTACTATTTGCTGCCATCAGACATTCAAGACTCTCAGAGTGAAAGCTTATGATTTTTAAGTTACCATATGATAACCTTACAGAAGCTTTAGTGGTAAAAAGTGTTTTTGACTCCTAAAAAGTAATTATAAAAATGAAACATGGTTTAAGATAATGATGAAATTTTTTTCCTAAGCTACTTTAGTTTTATAAAAAATCAAAAAGAAGATATATACTGTAATAAATTTTTGCTTGTGGGGAAGTATGAAGATACAACCTCAGTATTTGTTTTCGGCTAGAAAACTTCAGCCACTGTGTATTTGTGTAGTTAAAATAAGCTACCTTTAAAACATACATCTTAAATTGTCTTATTTGTATTGCTTTAAGCCTCAGCAGGTAGAGCAGATGGAAATACCACCTGTGGAGCTTCCCCCAGAAGAACCTCCAAATATCTGTCAGCTAATACCAGAGTTAGAACTTCTGCCAGAAAAAGAGAAGGAGAAAGAGAAGGAAAAAGAAGATGATGAAGAGGAAGAGGTAAACTGGTTAATAATTTCCATTCCAGATTTAGGAAAAACATCCAGCTTTCTTTAATATTTCATATTGGAGCTAACTTAATTGATGTTGAGCATCAGAGTTACTAGAAAAAATTTTGAATACAAGCAAAATTTTACCAAAATGCCTAGTGGCATAGATCATTAGGAACGTGAAATTTTATACGTTGCTGTAACTCATTGGCTCCCTTGTGGGCTTTTGAAAGACTGGAATTGCCCTTACACTGATTCTTTGTCTGACTTCTAAATTGCTTGTAGCTGCTTTTACTATCTTGTGGTCAGTGGTCGATTCTTACTGCTATTATCATCTGCATCTGATATAACCTCTTCTGTATCTGTGGTGGCCTGAAAATCAGATAACCATATATTTTCCACTTGTCTGGGATTCGTTTCTGTTTTTCTTTTACTTAAACCAGGGTAAAGCATGACTTTGCTAAAACACTTAGATTGAGTGAAGACTTGAATGACTTTCACTTTTTACAAAGTAAGAGATGATTTAGGAAATAATTTCTTTTTCCTGGGGCATGTTTAAAGGGTTCAAGGTCTTTCTTGTTTCTTCTTCCTTATTTCTGGATCATCAAGGTTATTGTTTAAGACTTAGAATTTATTCTTGTTTGATGTTCTGTCAGATATGTTACTTAAACCTTTAAATTTAAAATAAGATGTCCTTTAGGTAGCATTGAAGGGGTTTAAATTTCTTGCAAGACTAAAAAAGTTTATGGATTGGATAAATTTTCATTAGCATCTGTTCTTAATTCTAATAATACTTAGCGCTTATCTTTAATATGAATACCTTATTTAAAGCCAAAATTAGCTTTAGAGCTACGCTAACCTATGAATTAGGTGTGCCATTATCCCAGACTTAGTTGTGAATGAATATTAAAGTTGTTGTGGTTTCTGTTATGTCTGGTATATAGTTTCAGCATACATAGCCTAGGAACATCACAACTGTTGCCTTGCACTCACCTTGGACTTTAAGAAGGCATTTAGGCAGCACGTGGCCGAGAACTAGGTTGCTCAAGTAAGATGTAAGGATTATAGCCCATTCATTTTCAAACACCATATAGACCAATAATAAATCCTCATCTTAGCTAGTCTGCAGGCTCTTTGGTATTGCTCCACAATGAGATTAGGAATCTGCCAGAACATAAGTCATCTAGAAAATCATGTTGCAATATTTATGTACTATTTTAAGTTGAAATAAACAGTATATTTAGTGGTACAGTTGATTATATGCTTAAGTTCTTTAACAGGGGCCAGTAACCAAAAGCTCCGTGATCAGTAGCAGTCCACAGACCCTGCACAGTGTGTGTTGGTAGCATCCTTATAGAGCAATATAGAAGTATACTTTCAGCCAAATGTTTGCTTGCATATACACAGAGGACTTTCCTTTGTAATTTAAGGAAGACAAACTCTGGAGTTTATACTCTAGATGCTAAGTGATTTCTCAGCAGCATTAAGTACATTTCTTATTAGTCCAAAATATACAATCTCAAGGTAATTTAGAGCTTTTAGGAGATGTAAAAATACCTCATTTTGCATTGGACTTCTTTTATCAGCTTTTTGGGGGTCATTTTCATTCAGGATGAAGATGCTTCAGGGGGTGATCAAGATCAGGAAGAAAGGAGATGGAACAAAAGGACTCAGCAGATGCTTCATGGTCTTCAGGTATTTCTTCTGTTGTCTTAGAGAAAAATGCTCCATCAAAGACTTTTGGCATTATTCCCTGAAAAAAAAAGAGTTACGTGCTGGAAAAAAAAAAAGCATACCTTTGTGAAACTTTTTCTAAAACTGCATTATTTTTAAATGCTTAAATTAAATACACAAGCTGTTAGGCCAAGGGTAAGCCTGAAAAGCATGCAGGGGAATGCTTGTGGTTGTCCTGAAAAGCAGAACCATGGAGACATATTACAGAACGCCTGTGTGTCCCTGTACCTTCTTGTTTTTTGTTGAGTAAATTTAATTTGCTGAATCATTAAATTTATTGAATCATTGGGTAGCATCAGCTGTCAGTCACTTTTCCTTGGACCAATGTCATAGACACAGACTATCTTGAATATCTATGAAATGCCAAGCAAATTGCTCAAGGTTTCCTAAAATAGGATAGCTGACATTAAAAAAAATTTTTTTTACTTTAAAAACTGTAAGTGCTACATTTTAATGTCATATTACATTAGCTGTCCAAAGAAATTGGTTATTTTAATAATACATGTCAAAACACTTAGACTTTCTTTGGATTTTAGATGTACCATAATGTACCTTGGCCCTTTACCCTATTGATTAACATGAGAATCACATACTGTTTTTAAAAGTCCAGTCTTTGTCCTGAGGAGAATATACAGTTTGTTTTTTTCCAGTAACCAAAATTGGCATTTGTGTTAGTCTGTTTTGTGTTGCTTTGTCCTGAGGAGAATATACAGTTTGCTTTTTTCCAGTAACCAAAATTGGCATTTGTGTTAGTCTGTTTTGTGTTGCTCTAAAGGAATACCTGAGTCTGGGTAATTTATAAAGAAAAGTTTTTTGGCTTACAGTTCTGCAGACTATACAAGAAATAAAGCACCATCATCTGCTTCTGGTGAGGCCTCAGAAAGCTTACAGTCATGGTGGAAGGCAAAGGGGGAGCAGGTGTGTCACATGGCAAGAGAGATGCTAGGCTCTTTTAAACAACCAGCTCTCATGTTAACTAATGAGCAGGTTGTTTTTCAGGTTGTCCTGAAAAGCAGAACCATGAAGACATATTACAGAACGCCTGTGTGTCCCTGCACCTTCTTGTTTTTTGTTGAGTAAATTTAATTTGCTGAATCATTAAATTTATTGACTCATTGTGTAGCATCATAAGGGATCCACCCCCACCCCCTGACACAAACACCTCTCACTAACCTCCATCTCTGACACTGGGGAATCACATTTCAGCATGAGATTTGGTGGGGACAAATACTTGACTACATCAGCATCCTTACTGAATTACTACTTTTATTATACAGGTTACTTTAAGTCATCCTCTTTTTTTTTTTTGGTTTTATTTCAGCGTGCTCTTGCTAAAACTGGAGCTGAATCTATCAGTTTGCTTGAGTTATGTCGAAGTACGAACAGAAAACAAGCTGCCGCAAAGTTCTACAGCTTCTTGGTTCTTAAAAAGCAGCAAGCTATTGAGCTGACACAGGAAGAACCGTACAGTGATATCATCGCAACACCTGGACCAAGGTTCCATATTATATGAAGAGCTAGAAGCATTACAGCTAGTGTTCGTTTCACTAGTGCTTACAAATTGCCCCCATGTGTAGGGGACACAGAATCCTTTGAGAAAACTTAGATTTTTGTCTGTACAAAGTCTTTGCCTTTTTCTTTCTTCCTTTTTTTTCCAGTATATTAAATTTGTCAATTTCATCTTTGAGGGAAACTAATTAGATGGGTTGTGTTTGTGTTCTGATGGAGAAGACAGCACCCCAGGGACTCAGAAGATGATTTTAACAGTTCAGAACAGATGTGTGCAATATTGGTGCATGTAATAATGTTGAATGGCAGTCAAAAGTCATGATTTTTATCTTCTTCTTCATTACTGCATAGAAAAGGAAACCCTGTCTGGGAAAATGCCTGACAGTTTAATTTAAAACTATGGTATGAGTCTTTGACAAGGAAAAAAAAGCCTTTCCGTCAGTAACACTGGCAGTCTTCCTGTTAACCACTCTCCTTAGGGATGGTATGGGAAACAACTAAGGTCACCCTCTTGAGATTCGTTTTTAAGTGTAATTCCATAATGAACAGAGGTGTTACGTGAAATTGTGTTGTGACTGATAACCTTCAGCTACAAAAAGATAGAGGACTGACTTGGTTTAAAGTGTTCTATTTTGTAAATCATTCCATTTGAGTCTTTCTGATGAACTTGGCTATCCTGAAATCTGTTACTTTAGTGAGGCTCCAAAGTGAGCACAAATAGGCCTAATTAGAGTAGAGCGACTATGAAAAAAACATAGCTTTCTAGGAGCTATAAATCAGAATTTTAAAAAGATGTTTTGGATATATTTGAGTATTCAGATCATGAAAATAGAAATTGCCCTGCCTATTACAAGGACATACTGATGGGAAATTATACACCTGGTCAGCTTAACCTTTAAGCAGACGATGCTGTACAAACTAATGGCTTCTCTGATATTTATTAAAAGTTTTAGTACTTACCTCCTTCTCCAGTGCTGCACACTCCTGTGTTTGGAACTTTAATAGCTTCGTAACGAATCCTATGTCTAGTTTCCTATAATTTAATTGAAAAAAAATCCAAATAAAGGTTTTATTATTAACAGACCAGATAGCATCAGAAATCATGTGACTATTATTACCAGAATATGTCTTGACTTTTTAGGGCAAAATTAACACTGAAAGTTCTAGCCTAAGTGTTGAAACTTTTGTGGGAAAAAAGTCACTTTTGAAAATCAGACTTCAGTGTATACCCAATAATTTTAAATTATGTGAAATGTTTTAAATTTGTGAACTCGTAATTACTGTTTTAATGATTCAGTTTCTTGAGAGTGATAATTGTATAAAATTGCTATTGCAGCTTTATTTTCAATATGATGTGCCTGTAAACCAAGGAGTTTTCCCCGTTTGTAAAAAGACATTGTAGATAATTGAATGTTTGATTTTAGAAAGGTCGTTAGTTCTTGTTACACATTTTGTTAGTCTGGTTTTTGTTGCTTATCAGGTTTAATATTGTTCTTGAAAATAGTTGATGCTATGTTATGTATAACTTTTCTAATAAAAGTTGTGTTATAAGCTGTACTTTTTTGAGTATTTGTTATTTAATTGGTGGAAGTCCCCAAGGGAAAAGTTGGCTGAAAAATTTAATATAGCCAAACACCTCATTTGTTTGCCTTATCTAGAAGAGTTACCCATATAAACCAGATGAATTTTTCAAAAGAGGTCTTAGACTGAAAAATGGAAGACTAGGATAGCTTGTCTCCAACTTTTTGTTAACAGAACTATGTGATCTGCAGTTTTCATAAATGTAATAATTATGTGTGTATTAAGATTAAAAATGAAACCAACAAATGGCTGGTACGGAGGAAGCTTTGGGACATGAATATGTTTCTGTAACTGCTAAGTACATACAAACTATGACATCCTTATGGATGTACATCCTTAGTGCTCCAAGCAAGCTAGGTGGGTAGCCAGGTGCTGGAAATGTCCTTGGTTGATCTGAGATGCCTAACTGAAAACCAGGACATTCAGTAACCTGACATGTACCCACTTTTACATTCTAGCCTAGGATTAGTCTTGCTTCCCACCCCTCCCAGCCCCCACTAAACTTTAAATCATTGAGATTTTATGGTTTAAACCCTGATTTGAGTGTAAATTTGTTACTGTTTTTAGTAGAAAAAAAAAATCAGGTTTTATTAAGCACCAATTATCCTAAAACCCAAAGCAGCTTTAATTTGGGGCTCACTGCCATAGATGCTTATAGTAAGGAATTATCATTAATGTAAAAGTGATGAGAGCCTAGAATACAGTATGCCACAGTACCTGGGAGAAGTTCACAAAGAAAAGATTCTCAGATGATAAAAAGCATTTGCTGAAATTTAAAAGATGGCTCCGCATAGTAAAGTGAAATGGTGGTGGTTAGCCAGAGCAGAACCATGAGTGTTTGACTTGGAATTCAAAGGCCTAGCTATAGACTGACAGTAGAATCCACTCTCGTGACTGTACTGAAACTTGGAGTTTCCAGAGTGGTGCAGTAGAAAGAGCAATGGGCCAGAGCCCTGGGCCCCTAACTGTAATCTTGACTATAGAGCCTAAAACTCCAGAAGATTCATTCTGTATCCAGGTCTACATCTTAAATAAAATGGAAGTCATGTCCCATCGGTTTCCATTTCCAAGAATTGTGAAAACCCTATGAGCTAATTAAAAGCAGTTTGAAAAGCAACTAACATTTGTATGATGAAGATAATGGCTTTAATTCAGGCCACTTAGGTGCACTTGGGCAAGGGTTTAAACCTTTCTAATCCTAGAGTACCATACGTGAGGTGGACACCTCTACTTGGAGGAACTACATGCCCTTTAACTTAATTTCTTCAAAACAGTTAATTCTACTTTACTACTTTAGACCTCCCTAATGCTTCGTCTTGGTGAGTGGCTCCTTCGCCTTCCATGTCCCCTTGACCTGGTGATTCAGTGTTCCTACATTTCAAATAACCATTCCTCTGCTCAGACTATTGAAGACTTGCAGAGATTACTTCAACAGCTCCAGTTACTCAAAAGATAAGACTTTCCTCTAAACACACTAGAGTCAACTGGCAAGTCAGCAGAGGAACATTTAAACAGGGAGGACAGGAAGATTTTTATTTCAAGACCAAGTACCCAGAAGCTATCTGCCCTGCTTTCCATACTCCCCCTGCTGACCTCCCAGCTATGCTCCAGGTCATGCGTCCAAACATCTAGGCGGCCAGGCAGGTAATGGAAATGAGTGAAGCGGCCAGGTGACCAGACCAGCAGTGGAGGGTGAGGAAGAACAGTGCTGAACTGGATGAAACATGGCAGGGGTCCCCTTTCAGCTGAGCGCAGCATCTGCTAAAATGTCACCAACTGCTGGTTCAGAAAAAGAGAGCATTGCCTCATTTGGGGATTTAACAGGAAAGGCCAGAGGTCCTGATTTTAAAACGTGATATATGATTCAAAACTGTTTCAATACTATGCAGGCCACACACACCTTGGCAGAGATATCCAGCTCAGAAACCTCAGGCTGGCCGCTTCTGTTAAGCTTTGAGGACTACAAGGAAAGCAAGTTGTGCCACTTCAAGAAGCAAGACTTTCTGTGCTCTTTCCTGTCACTGCTTCAAAGACCACAGGCTAGCTACTTCCTCTTAAAGAATGTGGTCCGATTTTTTCAAGACCCTATTTGATGTTCCAGGCCCACAGGGAACATCCTCATCTGACTTTATTTATGCTTCAGGTGTGCCCTTTTAACTTTGTATGACAGCTATTTTATCACATTCCCAACCTAATGGAAATGTCTTCGGAAAAGGAGGACTTGAAAAATGTAAATCTAAAGACAAAAGTCTCATTTCCTCAAAATCCTCCAAAGCCAAACAATGCAGGGATTCTCAGATGTTAGTTAGCTCAAGAGTCAGGTGGAATATTGTATATCTGTAGGTTTTTAGCCAGGGAATCTGCAGACAAGTCCCAGGTCGTTTTCAGATACTGGAATTCAGCCTTATCCTCTGAGCTGTCATTTCAAATGCCTGGCCAGCATCTGGACCTGCGGCTGGTGGGCGGAAGTGCCCTCCGTGATCAGCTGTTACTTATGCTCTAGGACTAATTAGCTCTCAATTGGCCAACAGCTGTTCAGTGGGAAATTCTCATACAGTTCAATGTACCCGTTTGCTCTCCAATTTGAGCTAACTGGCACATTGTTATTTCCAGAAGGCATCTGGCCAAAGGGGCTCTCAGGTCCTGTTCTAATTACCCCAGGTGTGATAGTCTCCTATGTACTATGAAAATGAGTCAGGGCACCAATGAGTGGCCAGTAATCAACAATGATCATCAAAACAGCAACACAGCTTCTGTAATTTACTGAGTGAGTTTGGTCCAGTGGTTGAGAACATTGGTTGGAATCCAAGAGAGGTGAGTTCAGGATTAGGTCTGCCTCTAATTAGAAACTGCGGTGACTGTCTTAACTTCCTTAACTCTTGGTTCTCTCCTGAGGAAGCTCGTAAGGCTTCTGTGAGGATTAAATAACGTAATGCAAGGAAAGTACTTAGCATAGTGCCTGGCCAGTGGTAATTACTGTGTACTAGCTGTTTTTCAGGCCAAAATACTTAACTGAGTGCTTTACCCTGAGCAAGGAATGATGCCAGAACTAGGTGTACTGATGTGAACAAAATACACACAGTTCCTTTAAGTTTTTAGGAAGTTCAAGAAAGTCAAGGCATCTCCAGAGAAGTAAACCTTCCTTCAATTCCCCCAGAGAAACTATTCCCCCATCTTCTCTATTTCCACAATATTTTATTCATAACTGATGACACTTTTCATAATATACTTTGCCTGTCTACTTCTCTTGACTACTTGACTATGGATTTTTGAAGGCTTGTCTATAATCCCAGAACTACCTAATCCAGTGTGTGACTCAATGAGCGTGATCAATTTTGTTGGCTTCAGCCAATGACCATGGTAAAGGACAAAAATAACTCCCTTGAAGCCAATTTCTGTGAAAATTGGTTTTGAGAGTAGAATATGAATTCTTGCCGTTTCTAAACATACAGTTCCTGTAAGTTTTGGTAAGTGTGTGTTATTTTGCTTAGAAAACAAAGAAGGGGCAGGAGCAGTGGCTCACACCTGTAATCCCAGCACTTCGGGAGGCCAAGGCTGGCGGATTGCCTGAGGTCAGGAGTATGAAACCAGCCTGGACAACATGGTGAAACCTGTCTCTGCTAAATACAAAAACATTAGCCAGGCATGGTGGCACACACCTGTAATCCCAGCTACTTGGGAGGCAGAAACAGGAGAATTGCTTGAACCCAGGAGGCAGAGCTTTCAGTGAACCAAGATGGCACCACTGCACTGTAGCCGGGGTGACAGAGCTAGACTCCATCTCAAAAAACAAAACAAAAAACAAAAAAATAAATAAATAAAAAAACAAGGGAGAATAATTTATCTACCACCTTCTCTCTCCCATCAGTCACAGGTTTGCTTTTGGAACATGAGTTACCCATTATCTTCCAGGCCCACCAAGCTATCCCCTATCTCACCTATCAAAAGTCTCCTATGGGGTGTGCCCTTTAGAAACTCGTTCAGAGCCCACCTAGCAGAGGGTGGTTGGATCAGAACCAAAGGCTACTGGCCCCCGATTCAGTTGACACATTGAGCAGTTGGGAAGAGAGCTCCAAACTAAGCACCTCGGAGTTTAAACGTGGTAAAATACAGGAGAATACTTGATTTGGGATTCCAAATCCCTACAATAATTCTTGGGTATGAAACCTTCCTTTCCAGGACACAACAGTGTCATTTTCTTCATGCTGGTTGCAGGGTTATAGCAGGTGGTAAATTCTGAGTTTCTTTCCCCTAAGCCATCTAAAATTTGTTTAGATTGACTCTGCTGAAATAACAGAGACTGCCAGATTCCCTTGATTATAGAAGTTGTGTATGAAATGTCATCCTCTGCGCTACCGAGCCTCATGATCACAATGAGTGCTAAATAAGATAATGTATGCACATGTATTTGCAATCTGGAAAGCTCCACAAAAGTAGTTACTATAATAACAAGGTAGCTTCCTTGGGAAGAAGAGTCACCATAAGAGATGAAGATAACATTATGCCTTCATTTGAAAGTCAATTTCAGCAAGGTAAGAGGTTGCAAGATAGTTCAGGTTGATTTCTTGTGGGAAACATTATAAGCTTAAAAGTCTCGGGGAATTTCAGCAGTTAAGGCTTTTCTTGAAGGGACCCTAGGGCAGAAGCAGCTTTCCCCAAACTTCCTGAAACTTTGTCCCGGTTGATAGTCTCCATAAACATAACACTAAAATTAATAAAGGAAAGAGGGGGATTTCGACTCAACATTTACTGAACAGCAGACACCATGCTAGGTGCTAATAGCATACAAAGACATAATCTTTGTGATTATACCATCAAAGATTAGAAGGAAACTGGCATTTAAACTACATCTTGAAGAATTAGTGGGATTTATTCAACAGGCGTGCAAGGGACAGGAAGAAAGGGTATTCCAAGAAGAAAGAACAGTACAGGCAAAGTCACGGAGGTAGAAAGGAATGGCACTGATTTGGAAGCCA